AATAGTTTCTTTAACAAACAGTGCTGTGACAACTGGGTTTCTACATGCAGAGAAATAAGGTGGAGCCCTGCCTTAAGCTATATATGAAAATTAACTAAAGATAGATCAATAACCTCAATATAAGAGCTAAAACCACAAAACTCTTAAAAGAAAACATAAGAGTAAAACTTTAGGACTTCGTTTCTAATAAGGCATCCTTACATATCACACCAAAAGCACATGTAACAACAACAAAAATTTTCAATTTAATCAAAATTAAAACTTTTGTATCAAAGGACGTTATTAAGAAAATAAAAAGATATCTTACAAACAAAAGAAAATATTTGGAAGTATATATCAGATTAGAGTTTAATACATAGAACATATAAATTTTTCCTACAATTCAACAACAAAAGAAAAGAAAAACAACCAATTTAAAAATGAGCAATGGAATAAACATTTCTTTCAAAGAAGATATTCAGATAGCCAATAAGTACATAAAAAGGTGCCCAACATCATTAATCGTTAGAGAAATGCAAATTAAAACACGTAGTGCCTAAGGCACTTGACTGCTCATCAGAAGGCTGGCAGTTCAAATCCACCAGCCACTCCTCGGAAGGAAGATGGGGCAATCTACTTCCGTAGTGATACTGCCTCGGAAACCCAAGGAGGGGTCACTATGAGTTGGGTCAGACTTGACGGCACACAACAACAACAACAACAAGATACTACTTCATACCAAGTAGAGTGAATATTATTAAAGATGAAAAAGAAAATTAGAGTTGGTAAGGATGTGGAGAAATTGTATTACTGGTGGGAATAAAAACTGATGTAGCGACTATGGAAAAATTTGTCCTCAAAAAGTTAAACACAGACTTGCCACATGACCTAGCAATTCTACTCCTAGCTATACAGCCAAAAGAAGTGAAAGCAGGGACTCAAAGAGACAGCTGCCTATCAATGTTCATGACAGCATTATTTACAGCAGCCTAAAGGTGGAACAACTCAAGTGTCCATCAACAGATGAACAGATAAACAAAATGGGTGTATACATATGACAGAATATTATTCAGCCATAAAAAAAAGAAGTTCTGATACATGCCATGACATGACATGAATGATCCTTGAAAACCTTATGCTCTATGAAGTCAGTCAGACATAAAAGGGCAAATATTATATGATCCCGCTTACATGAAATATCGAGAGTAGGCAAATGCATAGAGCCAGAAAGCAGATTAGTGGTTGGTTACCAGGGGCTAAAAGGAGGGGAGAGTAGAAGTTATAGCTTAATGGGCAAGCGTTTCTGTTTGGGGTGGTGAAAAACGCTTTAAAAATTAATAGTGGTCTTGGTTGTTCAAAATTGTGAATATGATACCACTGAACTACACCCTTAAAAAATGGTTTAAATGCTAAACTTTATGTTACACATATTTCACCACAATGAAAAAGAAAACACAAGCAATACAATCCACTACATTAATAAACAAAAAAGGAAACCCGTATGATCATCTCAGTAGATACAGAAAAAACTTTTGACAAAATCCAAAGATCCATTCATGTTAAAAACTCTCAACAAACTAGAAACAGAAGGGAACTTCTTCCTTCTAATGGAAAACTTTAATTAAGGAAAAACTTTTATTCTTTGGTAAATAAGCACTTCATTTTAATTTTACCAAAGTTTTAATTGACAGAGATCACTGATAGTTACAACACTATTTAAAGGAATGTAACATGCTGGCCCCTATTCTGGTATGGCAGTTTAAGCTATTAGTATAACCCTTCCACACACAGATAACAAATATCAACTCTTGACAAAATACAAAAATTAACTATCTGAAGGCACCAGAAAGTAAACAAAATATACAGACAGATACTGGAGGAATGTATACAGTTAGAAGAAAAGACATAGAATGTGGTTCCATCTTGGCTTTCAGCCTATGGGCAGGCTGCAGGCAGTCTCTCAGGCCTGTAGAACAACAGCATTTGGGGCACCCAAAACCACTGTTAGTCAAGGGAGGAGAGATCCTGGAAAAGAGAGGGGCCAGAGAGGAGGAGCCAAAAATTCTGTGTATAACCTCCACCCAAACCTATGGTTAATCCCTGAGCCATGTCCACGTGAGGCAAATTATAAGGATGAAAGAAATGAACAGATTTGATATGCTGCCCAAAAAACAGCCAGCACAAAGCGCTTGGCTGTGAACTGAAAAGGTCGGCAGTTCCAACCTACAAGCAAAGGGAGAAAAGACTTGGCGATCTGCTCCCACAGAGATCACAGCCTAGGAAACCCTATAGGAAAGTTCTACTGTCATTCCGGGCTGCTATGAGATGGAATCAAGTCGATAGCACACAACAAAAACAAAACAAAAAGTCAGCACTTTTCAAAAGAATAAAGCAGAAAGAATCTAGTCTCCACAACATAATCTTCACAAGTGTTAAGATATTATTCAAAATTTTCTGGCAATATGAACAAGCAGAAAATATGTGACCCATTCTAAATAGAAATGAAAACTAACAGAGACCAAACCTGAAGTTACACAGATTGGAATTAGCAGACAAGAATTTTAAACAGTTATTGTAACTATGTTCATACCTTAAAGGGAAGTATGTTCATAATGAATACAAAGATAGGCAGTCTTGGCAGAGGAAAAAAAAAAAAAAGCTATAGAAAACAGTCAAATTGAAATTCTAGAACTAAAAACTGCAATACCTAAAATAAATATACCCCAAGAAAGACAGCGTAAGTCTTCCCTCTTTTTCATTTTTTTTTTTTTAAATTAGCAATCTTTGGGGTCTACAGGCATTGTACTATCATACAAAGAAACAGAAGTATCAGTGAAGCAAAACAACTTAGACTAGAGAAACTGGTGATTGTTCTACGTGGGTTTCAATTTCCTTGTATTTAAAATGAGAAGGCAGATTAACGGATCCATTTAGTTAACAGAAAATTGACAGCCTAGAAATATTTAAGAAATCAGAAGAAAAAAATAAAAATTATTTGTCTTCAAAGAATAAATCATAGTCTCCTTAAGAATACCTTCTTTTAAAAATATAATTCTGTAACTATTTAATGAGATGAATTTTATCTCAATAAGGCCCCAAAGGGACCCTTTATATCCTTATATAAGACACAAAGGTAAGAATCTTCACTTAAACTTTTAATTCCTGCTAATCACTGATACTTAAACTCCAGGACCATTCAAAGACTGTCAGCAAGCCAAAGAAGCTGGGCATTCAGTCAGTGGGATTTATATGGCACAGTATACATATTTCTCAAAATCTCAACAAGTCTATTACGAAAGCACAGATTTTCTTATAAGAAGTTTACTTGACTAAGCTATTTCCACATAATTACTAAAATTTATACACATTAGGATTTAAAAATGTATAGTAAATACAAAATGTGACAACCAGAATGTCAACACTTTTATTTTGTTCTAACAGATCTTTAGGGTAATTTTTATTTTTGAATCACTTAATGTATTCTGCATGCTTTATAAAAAACAATGGCCATCTTTCTTTAGACTGAAAAAATGCAGAAATCACAAAATTCAAGAGTCACATACTGTACAAATGATTTTCCAAAATATTTTGTCATTTTTTCTGAAATTTGAAGGACTAATTAGTGCATTAAAAAATGGGGAGAGAACATACAAAACTGTGAAATCACACATTGAAATGGGTTCAATTTGAGTTTACTACCATTTAAGAACCATGACCTTAGATTAACTAGTTAGTTCCTTCTGTGTAACACCTATAAACCATAATAGGGTTGTTGTGCAAATTAAATAAAACTACTACTGATCATATAAATTAATACAATTCTTTAGAAAGTAATTTTGGCCAACATTTCCTGAAATACATTCCTATGGATTATTAACAAGTATTGTATAGGGGAAAATTTTAAAAGATTCTGTAAGTTTGAGAAACCGTGGTCTCTTTACTTTGAGGCTTCTCAGTCTTTAATACCATGAATATACAGTGAAACCTATGAGAGCTAGAACTTGACAAGACTGCCTTGTTTTTCTGGGTCTTCCAAGTTTCCCATCTTTGACAGGGTACAGTCTTAGCACTTTTCTATCATTCATTTTAGTGGAAAATATTTGACTTTTCCTTTTCTGATAGGTTTCTGCCTTATATACATCCTAGTTTTTGCAGGTTTGACTGGAGCTCTGGTGGCCTAGTGCCTAAGGCATTTGACTGTTAACCCAAAGGCTGGCGGTTCAAACCCACCCAGCCACTCCACAGAAGGAAGACTGGGGAATCTACTTCTATAAAACTTCACTGCCTCGGAAACCAAGAGGGTTGCTGTGAGTTGGAATTGACTTGATGGCAGTGAGTCTGGTTTGGTTTACTGTACATTGTGAATTTCCAAAAAGCGAATGTAATATTTATCATTCTAAAACTAAATTGGCCATGATACCACATTTTCACTGAGTATCTCAAGGCACTAGTGGGCCACTAAAATCAAATTTCAGAAACTATAGTCACTATCAATAGTTGTAAAAGTGTTGCTACTTCCTTAATCTTGCAGATAAATCCATCCGCATCTTTGTAAGTAAATATGAAAAAAGTTAAGATAAGACTGGAGACACTCTACAGTGTTATTTAAAATAGTAAAATTCACAAGAAACCACAGTGACAAAAGAATAAACATAAATATATTGACTTAAAGGACTATTATACAGCTAATGTAAGTAGCTGGAATAGAGCCCACAACCCACAGAAAAGACTGTTACAATGAAAAGACAATCCAACTTTGCATGTGAGGATTACAACAATATTAATAAGTATATATCTATGAACAAAGTCTTAAAAGAACAGTGCAAAATGAAGTAAGTTCATGTTCCACAGTCAGACTGGGTTAATTCTTTTTTTTTTTTTTTTCCTGTTTCTTTAATTTTTGTAAAATGTTGTTGAATAAATACAATGAATAAAAACCAATAACTGTAAAGAAAGACACAAAGGTAAGAATCTTTACTTAAACTTTTAATTCCTGCTAATCAATGATACTTAAACTCCAGGACCATTCAAAGACTGTCAGCAAGCAAAAGAAGCTGGGCATTCAGTCAGTGGGATTTATATGATTAAACCTGAAAACAGCAATGGACCAATGCAGTTATGGTGTGAAAACAGTCTGGATCCCGGGGGTTGGACTGTTATTCAGAAAAGAACAGACGGCTCTGTGAACTTCTTCAGAAATTGGGAAAATTATAAGGTAAATCAATGATTCAAACTTGGGGGAGGTGGAACAAAGCAGTTTTTGTAATACTGTCTATTCTATGTAATAAACAAGATTTGGAGTTTAAAGATAACTATCCATATATTATTTCATTACTACATTTGTTTAAAAGATAATTTTTATCTCTGTATTTAAAGTCAAAATTAAAAAAAAAGAAAACATAAAAAGAACTGAAGATTTACTTTCAATTGTCCCCTTTTCAGTCTGGATGACTTACAAATATACCTTGCAAAGATTAATCTTAAAATTACATTTTCTAAGAAGACAGTTGTTTTTTTAAATTTATGTACTTGATGATATCTACCATCACGTGTACTTAAGCAGTAATATAAAGTTATAGGACTTCAAGAAAATGATGCCGTTTCTTGCACTAATTATATCTGATAATCATGCCATCATGTTCCAAGATTATGACACTAGACACTGGTGCCGTTGGGAAGTGATGCACACCTGTGCTTTCATGCAGCGTGAGAATCATGTAACACCAATTTCGGGAAGATAAAGAACTGGTCTGTACTATTAATTTTAATGCTGATCATGCTAACCTTATGAGCAGTATATATCACCACAATTTAAAGATGGCAGATACAAGAGATAAAATTAAGATCCTTTACAAATCCTTATTCAAACCTTCTTATTAGGCATCACATTTAATAGACCATATTAGCAATGTATTTTAGCTGGTGTTTCTACTAGCTTAACGAACATTGCTTGGTTTACTTTTTGCTTGTTTACTTTTATCTTCTAGATTACTAATTCCCCATTTAGAACTGTGAAGTAACATATGATTACTCATTCTTAGGTGAAATCTTATTGGCAGCTAAAAATGGGACAGTAATACATCCACGTGAGAGTTGCATAAATTTCTGAATCCATCAACAGCATAAATGAGAGAAGGCAAAATCCCTCAACACAGTCTCCTTGAAGATACAACTAACATGTTAAGATCAAGTTTACCAAGTCTTCTATTTTGCTGTACACCTGCACTGTCAAGTGCTTACTGAAATAGGATAATTACATATTTTTTTTCAAACATTAATTTAAAAATATTCACAGGAAAAACTTTGAAGATTACTATTTTATCTTCTTATATTTACTAATTTGACATAATGGGGCTAAAAATCAGATATTATTCTAAATATACCATGATTTTAAAATATACAATGATCTTTATTGAACAATCATAATAATCTGCTAGATATCCTTTTGTTGCTATGATGGAGATAGTATCCATACGCTTTTAGGGGAAAAAGAAAATAGTGCTCTCTATGGTTGAGACTAGGAACACTTTTTAAGGATCTGGGGTTTAATAACTAATGTTTTTAGTAGCTATGAATAAACTTCATTCTCTTTTGCTTTTGTATTATTTGTAGGTTTTTTATTTTTATTTTTTAATTTTTATTGCGATTTCAGTGAAAGTTTATTGAGAAAATTCATTTTCCATACAGTAGTTCACACACATTTTGTCTCATGACACTGACTGCAATTCCCCACACCTAACAGCTTCCTTGACACTTTGCCCCATAGTTATCTTTTCCCTGGGTCCTTCTCTCCCATGCACTCCTGCCAGCCCCGCGCTGTCTCCCTGTACAAACACTTCCCTGCTGTTCTCCCTTGATTGATCACTCCAAGGAGTGTATCTACCTGATGTAAATGTTCACCCCATATGCCTGTCTATTCTTTGGCTAGAGCCACAGGAGTGAGTTCAATTCCAGAGCTGAAAGGTGGTTAGGGACTACAGTCCCAAGGGTCTCACCAAGCTCTATCAGACCAGTAAAACTGTTTTTTTTTTTTTTTAATAATTTTGAGTTTTGTTCTACATTGTTCTCCCATTCTCTCCTGTACTGATTCCCCTCCAAGTGGTTGACAGTGGTAGCTGGGCACAATCTAGGTCTTCTGGTCTCACAGTCATATAGGCTGAAGACTGCGTGGTCTACCAGTCCCTTGGATTAATTGTTTCCATTTGTCTTTGGTTTTCTTTGTTCTTCTTCACTCTGGATGAAGAGAGACCCATCATTGAATCTAATCTAGATGGTCACTTGTAAGCTTTTAAGATCCCAGTCGCTACTCACCAAAGCAGGACGTCGAACAGTTTTTATGTAGTATGTTATGTCAATTGAGCTTCATTTCCCCTGTGAACATGGTCCCAACCCCACAGGTACAACTACTCACTCCCCCTGGGTAGCTGGCTGTGGCCAAGAAGCCACTACACTTTGCCCCTTGTCAGTTCTACTATACACCTGGAGAGCCTTACAGTGCATACAAATATGCAAGTAGAAACACTGTCTGCTAACCCTACATATGGGCACACTATCCCCTGCCTAGACATACCTGATCATTCAGCCTGTCTATCCATCTATCTGGGAGCTCTCATAGCGTAATGCCTAAAGCACTTGACTGCTGACCAGAAGGCTGGTGGTTCAAACCCACCAGCCACACCTGAGAAGGGAGATGGGACAATCTACTTCTGTAGTGATACTGCCTCAGAAACCCAAGGAGAGATCGCTATGAGTCGGGTCGACTCAACGGCAAATAACAACAACATCCACCTATCCACCTATCTACCTGTAGATCAATGTTTGCCATCACTGACAACATAGTACTGTACATGCAAAAGGGTTCATTTTTGTTGTCTGTACCTCCCATGTACTTCTGTCTTCCTCTTCCTCAGTGCCACCTTGTTGATCACTCACATTTGTTACACTGCCCTTCCCATCACCCAAATCATATATTATTGATAGGTTTTGACAGCAGCTGTGTAAATAAATTCTGATATATTAAAAGAAAGCAAAATAAAACAAAGTGACTATGTGGGACTTAAAAAGATCAGATGACTAACTAAAATGGAAGCTTACATCACCACTGAAATCAATGATCAATATTTTAATGCTATTGACTGTTTAGAACATAAAAATGTTTAGCATCTCTATATTTATTTACATGCTTATGATCTTTGTTTATTAACAGAAAGGGTTTGGAAACACTGATGGAGAATACTGGCTTGGACTTGAAAACATCTATATGCTTAGCAATCAAGATAACTATAAGTTATTGATTGAATTAGAAGACTGGAGTGATAAAAAAGTCTATGCAGAATACAGCAGCTTTCGTCTGGAACCAGAAAATGAATTCTATAGACTGCGCCTAGGAACTTACCAGGGAAATGCAGGGGATTCTATGATGTGGCATAACGGTAAACAATTCACAACACTGGACAGAGATAAAGACATGTATGCAGGTGAGCAAGAAAAAGTTACTACTGTAACTTTTATTTATATTTCTAAATTTATGGATACTGTGGACCAACCAAAAACCAAACTCACTGCTGTTCAGTCACATCCAACTCATAGTGACCCTGTAAGACAGAATAGAACTGCCCCATAGGGTCTCCAAGACTGCAAATCTTTATGGAAGCAGACTGTCACATCTTTCTCCTGCAGAGCAACTGGTGGGTTCAAACTGCTGACTTTTTGGTTAGCAGCCAAGTGCTGTAACCACTGTGCCCCGAGGGCTCCTTAGGTACAGGGATAGAGCAGTGAAAAAGTTCTTGTCCTTTTTTGGCTTATTCTCTAGGAAGAGGAGACAAAATGATTTATCAGGTGGTGACACATACTCCAGGAAAAGATCAAACCAAGTAAGGAAACAAGAAAGTGATGGGCTGTAGGGGATGCAGTGGGTGGTATTTTATATGGGATGGCCAGGAAAGGCTATCTGAGATGGTCACATATGAATAAAGGACTAAAGGTAACGAGGGAGGCAAGCCATCTGGATACATGGGCTAATGAGGTAGGAACATTTCTTAGCAATTCCTTATCTTTCCTTTCCATCTCTCCCTCTCTCACATACAAACATTGTGTTTTATTTACTCTGCTACCAAGAATATTAAATCCATTTCCAAAAAGCATGTAGTAGAGAGATAAAGAGCAAGATGAAAAAGGAAATTCAAGTGATCTTTCAAGGAGTTAATACTTAAGCAATAGCAACAGAACACATGAAAAAAACACATTATTAAGGTAAAGGTAACTGAAATCAGGAAGAGAAGTTCAAATTAAATTGTTCCAAAGGTAGAGAAAGAGAGTTCAATGGTTTGCAGAGTGCCACATTTAGAATAAAACTTTTATTTTTTCCTCAAAGGAAATTGTGCCCACTTTCATAAAGGAGGCTGGTGGTACAACGCCTGTGCCCATTCTAACCTAAATGGAGTATGGTACAGAGGAGGCCATTACAGAAGCAAGCACCAAGATGGAATTTTTTGGGCTGAATACAGAGGCGGGTCCTATTCCTTGCGAGCAGTTCGGATGATGATCAAGCCTATTGACTGAAAAGAAACAGTCTCCAAGACACAGAACTCTGTATTTTCCAGTTATTAAAAATGTAAATGTTACATGTATATTGTTTTACAGAATTTATTTCTACAAATACAGTTTTTAAAATGAGTTTTACTGTAACTATAAAAAGGGATCTATGAATGTCACTTCATCTTCCTCCAACATATTGCAAACGTGTATCTGTATCCATGTCCTGGTTATTTTAAAAATATATCTACTAAATACAGACAAAGTTTGTTTCTAAAATGTAAATATTTGCCACAATGTAAAACAAATTAATAGCTTTATTTGAAATCAAAATTGAGTACATGTTCTAGATACTTAACAATTTATTTAAAAACTTTCTAAGACTGCTTGAATTTCCAATGGAAAAATAATTTTAAGATTTCAACCAAGCAGCACATTTTATTTATAAAAATATAGACAGGAAATTGGAGCGAAAACTCTAGTTTTGCCAATAGAAAATAAGTTTTTGCATTGAATAAAAAAAAAGTTATTTCAAACTGAATTTGTGCCTTTTACATAAAATAATGAAATCTGATTTTTTTGGCAATATATCCTACGCTGATTTTCTCAAGAGCTAAGTGACCCACATATTAAGAATACCACTTTCAAAAACAAACAAAAAATGTACAAATAATGCATTCAATATTCAAATGGTTAATTTATGAAAACAGAAATACACAAATGTTTTTCTCAGTATTATCTTCACAGTATTTGCTGATGTCCAAAATCTCCTGAAAAGCATTTTATGTTAGTTACAAAATCAGCAAAATACTAGTATTGTAATAGTTCAGAATATTTGGAAAGCCCAAGACTTCAAAGATTTGACTTTTAATTCTAAAGTTATTTATTAATAAAACCAAACCAACCCACTGCATCAAGTCAATTCCAACTCATAGTGACTCCATAGGACAGAGTGGAACAGCCGCATAGGTTTTCCAAGGCTGTAAACCTTTATGGAACTAGACACATCTTTCTCCCATGGAACAGCTGGTGGGTTTGAACTGAACAACTTTTGTTTAGCAGCCAAGCACTTTAACCACTACACCACCATGGCATATGTATATATACATACACACACATATATATTTAGCTCCGGTGGTGCAGTGCCTAAGGCATTTGACTGCTAACCAGAAGACTGATGGTTCAAACCTACCAGCCACTCTGCAATCATTTTACAATGGCTCAAACTCTCTCTCCTCTGACCACACCAGGAGGAAAAAATAGGCTATTTCTAATTTCTGGGAAGAATTTAGTATCCAAATGTTACATCAAATCTTATTTGAGTAAAATTCTACCCAGGGCACTCCACTTACTGACAGAACTACTGCATTTCACCTAAACATCTAAAATTCTATGAAAGGCACATCCTGCAGAATTTTCCAAAGCGAAATATTATTAAAACTAGAATAATATGAAAATCAAACTACAAATTCAGCTGAATGCTAAACTTCCTTGCCACTAGGGGTCTAGTGACATTCTGCTCTTCTCCAGAGACCTGTATTTGATTCTTTTTTGGGCTTCCTGGAGAGCTTAAGAATGACTTTTGCAAATAAGTTCCGTAAGAGCAAGGAATAAGAGGTAGTAATTTTATGATGGTTGAGTACAGGTGCTAAAGTCAAAACTGCTTAGTGTTGTGGGTCAGTTCTACCACTTACTAGCTGTGTTAGTAGGGCAATTTTTATATTCTTACCTCAGTTTCCTTATCTACTAAATGGGGATACTAACAGTACCTAGCTCATATGGTTACTGTGAAGATCAAATGAGGTGATACTTGTAAAATATTTAAAATAATGACTGACACTAGTAAGCACCAGTAGACTTTGGCTGTCATTATTACTGCTATACATCTATACATCTTCTGCATTATCTAGCATGATGCCTTGCATGTTGTTGCTGTGTGCCGTCGAGTCAGCCCTGACTCATAGACCCCTCCTTGGGTTGCCGAGGCAGTATCACTACGGAAGTAGATTGCCTAGTTTTCCTTCCGAGGAGTGGCTGGTGGGTTTGAACCACCAGCCTTCTGGTTAGCAGTCAAATGCCTTAGGCACTATGCTACCAGAGCTCCTGTGCCTTGCATAGACTGGGTGAAAAATACATTAAAACCCAAGTTTTCAGGCATAAAATTACATGGATCCATGATTTTCCACCATTGCAAAGCTAACAGAGTTATGTCAGCTATTATGGCAGGTAGTTAAGACTTTGGACCATAAAGAAATAAAAAGAAAAATTAAGGGAAGAATAGCTACACTAAGAATTTCAGCCTGAGAATATTGTGACAGATTAGATTAGATTACTCGTATGGCAGGTCCAACAGCCAGTTATTCTGCAGGTCACCTACAAATACATACGTGGTTGCCGTACCTTCAGTAAGATTAAACTGTAACTTTATAGTGGTTTATAGAAGGATTCTTTATGTTCAGTTGTTTTAAATAAATACAATGCAGTTTATCCTAAAGAGGATTTAGCCTCTACTCTGCAGTGGCACAGTGCCTAAGGCATTTGACTGCTAACCAGAAGGTTGGTAATTCAAACCCACCAGCCACTCCACAGAAGGAAGACAGGGCAATCTACTTCCATAAAGATTTACCACCTTGGAAACCCAATGGGGGGGGGGCACTATGAGTCAGAATTGACTTGATAGCAGTGGGTTTGATTTTTTGGTTTTAGTTCTGTACTTAATAGGAGGCAATCAATATCTTGGGTACTTGGTCTCTCTGAAATAGACTTTTCAAACTTGAGATTTTAGATGATCCTAAAATTAGACATTACTTTGAGATTAAGTGGCTACTTAAGAATACACTCATCCTCATAATCCAAACCTGGTAGAGAACAAAGATCAAATTTTTAGTCTAATGTCCACTTGTCTCAAAGAACCATGATATGAGAATCCTAATTCTTCTAGTATTATATTTCTTAGGACTGCTGCTGGTAATAATATAATAAATCCATTGTCATTAAATTATAGTCATTAAGCACTTGCCTGCTAACCAAAGGGTTAGTGGTTCAAACCCACCAGCTGCTCCACGGGAGAAGGATGTGGCACCTGCTCCCATAAAGATTATAACCTTGGAAATTCTATGGGGCAGTTCTACTCTGTCTTACAGGGTTTGCTATGAGTTGGAACTGACTTGATGGCAATAGGAATAATAGAACACAACTACAAAGTTCTGTAATTATTAAAATGTTTTATATTTACTTATAGAACTAAGTAATGGAGTCTCCACATGGTACAAATAGTCAATGTAATTCAGTTGCTAACAGAAAAGTTGAAAGTTTGAGTTCCCCCAGAAGGGCCTTAGAGGAAAAGCCTGGTGATCTATTTCCTGAATAATCAGCCATTGAAAATCTTACGTAGCACAGTTCTACTCTGACACACATGGGTCATCATGAGTCAGAGTTGACTTGATGGCAACTGGTTTTACTAATGTAATATGACATATATTCAATCTTAATAGCAAGACTGTGTGCTGCTATGTGCCATTACCAAAAAAAAAAAAAAAAAACAAACTCACTGCTGACAATCTGACTCACAGAGACCCCTCCTTGGGTTTCTGAAGTGGTATCACTATGGAAGTAGATTGTCCAACCTTCTATCTGAGGAGTGGCTGGTGGATTTGAACCACCAGCCTTCTGGTTAGCAGTCAAATGCCTTAGGCACTATGCCACCAGAGCTCCCATGTGCCAATACAGTGTACTAGATTACACAGTGTGGCTTTTCTAGCCGTCTTTGTAAACTCCGTAGTGGAACTTGCCACGAGCAAATGAGTAGCTCCTGATTAACTGTTAAAGTTATCCACCTGGGGCATTTCTGTTGAGAGGAGTAGGAAGCAATCTTCTGGGAAGTTCTCTCTCTCTCTCTCTCTCTCTCTCTCTCAGGTGTACTGAATTCTGATGTTGGGATTGGTTAGTTTGGCCACTCTGCCAGGCTCAAAAGGAGCCCTCCAAGAGACAGGAGTCTCTCTGACTGCTGGGTGAGAAAGAGGTGCTGTTGAGAGAAACACACTCATGAGACACACACTGCTGAGGGAGACACCAAGAGACACGCACTGTTGGAGAGACTGAGTGAGACTGTCAGCTGAGAGACAGTGGGCTGAGAGAGACTAAGCATGTTCCTGAACTTGAACTGTAGCCTGTTGCTTCCTTAATAAAAGCCATACTCTGTGAGCTCTGTGTGGCTACTGCAGCAAATTATCGAACCCAGCAGAGAGCTGGTGGGTGCTATGGGAGGAATGGTTGGTGTCAAGGCAGGTGAAAGGGCTGGAGGGAGGCAGCATGTTTGGCCTCACAGGAATAGGCCTTGGGCTACTGATGGTGATTCTGTATTCCTCTTGTGGGGTTAGAGGAGGTCAGAAGATGTGACCTCCCTGTTCCTTTTGCAGCTATCAAGTCAATTCCAACTCATAGTGACCCTACAGGACAGAGTAGGACTGTCTCATAGAGTTTCCAAGACTGAAATATTAATGGGAGCAGATCACCATGTCTTTTTCTCCCATGAAGCTGCTGATGAATTCTAATCACTAACCTCTCATGTTAGCCAAGTGCTTAACCACAATGCCACTATGGCTCCTTAAATTATTACTATACCCTAAAAAGCTTTCAGTTTTTTCATTTTAATGTCTGTGAAAGGTAACTAAGTAAGAAAAGAATGAGTCCACTAAAATTGCCATGACACTTCTCAAAAAAAGTCATCTAGAAATAAGCCCAGTTTTCAATTTTTGTCAGTAAATAATTATTAAATTGTAATCCTATAGAGTTTTAAGAAAGACTGAAAGAATAAACTAAAAATTTTAATCTAAATACAGATTCCCCAAAATATTAATGTAATTTATAGTGCTTTCTTTGAACTTTAAAAATAATGCATCTTTGTAACATGTAATTTCATTTCCCTGGCCTAAGTTTCTTTACCTATAAAATACAGATAGTAATGATATCTATACCTTATAAAATTATTGTTAAGCATTAATAATTCAAAAAGGAGCCCTGGTGGT